AAAAGGGGTTCATCTGGTGACGGTGAATGTTTATTTCGCACGTCGAGATCCTGAAGCTGCTAGTCGGGTTCACCTCCTTTTAGGCTTACCGGTGGGGCTAATTCAAGCGGATATGAGTCCTGAAGAGCGAAAGCAAATTTATCACCTGCGTGTGCGCCTCCTCTCTCGCCCTCCTCCTCGTCCTGCAGCCGCGCCCGCCCCCCTCCGCCAAAGAGCGCCCAGCCGGCAGGCGAGGGCCAGGCGGCGGAGAAGGGGGTGCGGCTGCCCGCGCCGGTCGGCCTGTCGCTCGTCCCCCTCTCCCCGCCTACAGCCGATGCTGCGGCACGCCTCTCACTCAACGAGGCGGGTGCAAGGCCGCCCGTCCTCTTCTCTCCGCGCCGGAGGAGAGGGTCCTTGAGAGGGTCCTTGAGAGGGTGCCCAGCGGCGAGGCACGGCTCGGGCGACGCGGGCGGCGGTGCATCAGGAGGATGAAGGCGGCGAGGGGGAGGATGCGGGGGAGGAGGTCGGCGAGCAGGAACCTATGGGAAGGTTCCGAGACGGTTCGTGTGGGAGTTCGTGGAGAGTGCGGAGGGGAGGAGGTAAATGTATAGGAGCCACTGCGGCGTGAAGAGCTCGAGCGGGTCGTCCCCCGGGGAAGCGCCGCCGATGAGGTCGTGCAGCTCGAGCTGCTTGACGAGGAGCATCCCGATCCGGAGCAGGAAGCAGCACGCGCAGACGAGCATCGCGCGCCTGAGCTGCGAGAGAGTGCGAGCGAGCCGCGCCGCCGCCTCAGACTCTGGAGAGTGCAGCCGGGCGAGCTGCTGGTACGCGCCGATCCGCTGGATGCAGTAGAGGGCGGCGAGGGAGTAGGCGGTGCTGAGCGCTCCTTCGAGCACGCAGTAGGCTACGAAGGCCTCCGAGTGCTCGAAGTAGTGGAGGAGCGTCTCGCCCGCGCGCTCGAGGAGGAGTATGTTTGCAAGGGCGAGGAGGGCGAAGGCGAGGTTGGCGCACACGAGCACCTCGCGGCGGAGGAGCCGGATGGAGCGGCCCGAGAAGAGGTGGTTGAAGGCGGAGAGGATGAGCGTGAAGGAGCCGAGGAAGAAGACGCCCGATGCGACGTGGCACGAGTAAACGCCCTTCTGGACGCGGGACGAGTCGGAGGAGCCGTAGGCGCGGCCGGTGGCGAGGAGGATGTACCGCGGCAGCTCCAGGAAGGCGCAGAGCCACGTCGAGGCGAAGAAGGCGACGCGCACTGGCGAGACGTCGCCGCGCCGGCCGCCGAGCGCATGCACCACCGCCGAGACGAGCGCGTGGGTGCACCAGATTAGCACGCCTCCGAAGAGGAGGCAGCCGACCCGGCCGGCCTCGTCGGCGGTGTGGCGGGTGTTTGCGTCGGTCGTCAAGATTCTCATCGAGTCGGCCCGTGCCGCACACGGCACCAGCGAGCGATGTGGACTGTAAAGACTTTTCCACGGCGAGCATCGACACAGACGCCCTTCCCACTCTCGAGGTTCTCGAGGGGCATCTCCTTTGGCCGCGTTGGGTAGCGAGGATTGGTGTGACGCGATCCACGCAGGCGTGATTTCTGACGGCCGACCGTCAGTGCACGGAGTTGCCCCTTCTCCGACTGCCCCGGCTAGTTTCCGAGGTCGCGCGGGGCTGACCCCTGCGTCCCCCGAGACCTAGCGCGGGTGGGTTGGAGGGCTCGCTGCAAGAAAGGGCTGTGTAAGAAGCCGATGCCCCGTAGTCCGCCCCACTCCTCCCCATCGGGCCGCATGAGCGGCCACGCCTCGCAGATTCGTTTCTCGCGCCTGGGTCAGGCGCGCGGGGCATCCCCCGGGTGGCTCGACCAGCGATCCGAAGAGTGGCCGCTATGCGAAGGAAAGAGCGGGGCCCTCGACGCCTCAGTCCGGCCCTCCGAGGGGGGAAGGGAATTGTGGGGTCCCCTTGGGCGCCTCTCTTCGGCCCTCCCGAGGGGGGGAGGGGAGCAAGGGGGTGGGGGGATTGGGGTGGGGGGGAGGGGTCTCGGTTTCGTGAGGCTAATACGGGATTGGGGTGGTGGGGAGGGGTCTCGGTTTCGTGAGGCTAATACTTGCCTTTCGGGGAGGGGCCTCGGGAAAGGCGAGCACAGTGGCGCGCGCCCTACGTAATCCCCTCCTCCCTAGAGGCAGCGAGTAGGCAGCGAGGGGAGCACTCGAGCGCCTATAAGTCAATGCGCGAAGGGCGGTGGCCAGTGCTCTACAGAATCGTGCCTTTGTGTTCCGCGGTGTTTGCTCATCTTACATGCTTGCTTGCTTGCGTCTTCTTATGATTCAATAACCGAGCCTTGGGTGCGCGTGGGAGCTGGGTGCAGGCAGGGGCTGCGCAGCGCGCCGCGTGCGCGCAACCGAGGGCTCTAGAGAGCGTACTCTTGTTCCTTTTAAAGCAACCCTTTTTCTGGCTCACCAAGCTAAAAGATGTTCACGGGCCCTCACATGGAGCCCCGCGGGTACTCTTTAGCTGTACTTGTCAGGCAGGGGTTGCGTTTTAAACCAGGCGTCTCTTTTTGCTTACGTTTGCGCGCTTGGCCCGTTGGCCGGCCCTGATGCTGAAATTCATCTGCAAAAACCTTGCCGCGCCCGGCCCGCACCCCTACCTACCTACCTACCTACCTACCTACCTAGAGCTCCAGAGGCTCGTTGTCGTCCAACGTGATGGTGCATGTCACTTGAAGAGGAGCTTTCGGTTCCGGCCCAACGCAGGCTCCGTTTCAGCGCCCTGCGCGCCGCCGGTGATAGTGAACGTGAGGCCGCCGGACTTTGACTTGCCCTTGTTGGCCAGGTGTGCATCGTATGTGCCCAGCGCGAGTGGGAAATCCTTCTTGCCGCCCTCCGCGGCGTCCCCGTCGAATTGGATCCCCCGAGAGGACTTTACCGGGGTGTGCAAGAAGAGCCGCACCTTCCTTTTTTCCGGCAGCTTGTCCTCCTTGGTGATGGCCACCTTGAACGAGTCCTTGGACGCGCCCTTCCAGCCCACCTCGATCGGCTCGTTAAACTCGAATTGCGCCTTGGGCAGCTCGATGCATCTCTTGCCATTCTTCTTGCACGCCTCGAGCCAGTCCTCGCCCGGCGAGGGCGAGGGCGAGGGCGAGGGCGAGGGGCCCGGCGACGGCGACGGCACCAAGCTACCCTCATCCTCGAGGATGAATAGGCCACGGTTCATGTCGGATACGACGACAAGGCGGCTCGCGGGGAAGACGTAGGCCCCCCACGCGCCGTTAAACGTCGCGCCGTTGCCGTCAGGGTACGTGTCAAAATACCCCACCTCCGAGCGCGAGCTGAGGTCGAAGACACGCATGCCCGAGGCGTAGTTGGCGGCGTATAATCGGCCACCGAGGATGATGTGGTTGTGCGAATTGGCGCCGACACCGTTGGTGAACGAAGTGACGTACGAGGGGCTGCTCAGGTCGGAGACGTCAAACTCGAACAGGGTGCTGTTAGTCCCTTGGCTGTAGACGATGCCCTCGTCGCCCACGTACGCGCGCATCGTGACGACGTCGACCCACACGTTGTGCGAGTAGGAAGCGCCGGGCCAAGTGTCAAAGCCGAGCAAGGATATCGCGCTCTTGTCGGTCAGGTCCCAGATCTGTAGCCCGTGCGACCCTGTCACCGCCTTGCACGCGAACATGACCTGCTTGCCGGCGTACGGCCCCGACGCAAACGTGATCACCTGTGCGTCGTGAATGAAGCCTTTTCCGAACTTGCCAATGTACTCCGGCGCGGCAGGGTTGGCGTTCAGGTCATACATGCGCACGTTCTTCTTCTTGTCCCAGCCGCCGACGCGATACAGGTAGCCACTTACCTCGTCCACCACGACGTTGTGGCTCGATTCGGGCCCGCCGCCGTTGTCAATGGCCGCGGGGCCGACGTCGGAGATGGACGGTGGGTCGGAGTCCAGGCCCGAGAGGTCGAAGACGACGATGCCCGGCTGGTCCAACGCCTCGGTGACATAGTACGCGTGATGGCCGAAGACCTTGATGTCCTTCCACGGTGATAACGGCGACGTGAAGCCCGGGGCGGTGACCACGTCGCCCGTCTGCACGTCGACGGCGCTCATGCCCGTGCTATAACACATGAGCGCCCACTCCTTGCCGGTGGCCGCCGACGTGTAGCCCCAGATGTCGCTGCCGTAGGCGCCGCTGCAGCACGTCTCGATGGGCACGTGGTGCTTGAGCACGACGTTGAGCGAGTCAAAGGTGGACGCCGGCTCGGCCGGGCCGGTCTTCGGCGGCGTGGTCGGGCGCATGTGGTACGTCTCGCCGGTGGGCGTCGTCGACGTCATGCTCGCCATCCGGGCCATGTTCTGAAGTTGGCGGGCGTGGGGGGCGGTGGTGGCGTTGAAGTCTTGCGCCGTGAAACAGAGGAGCGCGCTGGCAGCCGCGAGGTGCGGCATATTGGTGCTAGCAGCCTGGCGCTCTTGCCCGGGCCGGCTGCCAGTACGAGCGACCGTGCTGCTTCAGCGAGCCGCTAGGAGCCGAGCCGATGTACATCCGAAGCCGTCTGCCGCGCGCGTACTATGCAATACGCCGCGGGTATTGGGCAGCAACCCGCCCGCCGTCCATCTGACACATGTATTCGCTTTTCCTTTGCGCTTAGCCTTCGATGTTATGAAACAAATATGAAACAAACGCAAGGCGGACATGGCATATCGCTCTCGGGCCCACAGACATCCCGCACACCCGCCGCCCCCCGCGCGCGCCCCATCCCGGCCGGGAGAAAGGGGAGTGACAGCTTGGGACGACGGCAACAAGACAGAACGAGTATCTTGCACTCCATGTGCAAGAACGCAGGGTAAATGTAAGCCGGATGGCTCACAGGCCACCTCTTGCGCCCCGACTGACCGATCTACCGCACTGGCCACTTCCGCCCCCTCGCTCCCAACCCATCCATCCACCTCGCCTCGGACCGCGCCGCGCGATCTCGGGCGATCTCGCGCTATCTATCTCGGGCGATCTCGGGGCCGCGCCGCGCCATCTCGGGCGATCTCGGAGCGTCGCTCGCGCGGCGGCACACCTGCTCAAAAAAGGAAGGAGGTTGGAGGCAGGAGGTCACGCCCCATCCAGAGCGCCGTCGTCGCCGGGTTTTTGGCCCCCGGGTCGTCGCCCGACGGTTGCTCCCGACGCGGGGCAGCAGACCATCGGACGGCGCGACGACGCCCCGTCCGGCACGCTCCCCCCTCCACCCGGCTATTGCCGCACGAGCGCGGCAACGCCGACGGACTTCCCGTCCCCCAAACTGCGCCGCAATCACCGCCGTGATTGTCGGCGCTGCGCCCCTTTGGCGCTTGTGCATATCACGTGCCCGCCTGCCAAGGCTGATGCCAAGGCCAAATCAACTGCCTGGCTGTTGCCAAGGCTCAATGACTCTCCTCTCTCTCTCCTCTCTTTCCCTTTTGAGCTAGCCTTCGATGTTATGAGACAAACGCAAGGCGGACATGGCATATCGCTCTCGGGCCTTTTCCTTTTGAGCTACTCGAGTAGCCCTCGTTTTCCTTTTTGAGAGAGATTTTTAGCAATACCAAACAACTCTAACACTCACACGTCATTTGGGGCTTGGAGCCCTGTTCACGCGCGCGCGAGACGTGCAGACAGGGTTGCCAGGTGAGAGCGAATGGCGCGGTTCACGCCTCGCACAACAGAGAGAGAGATGCGCTCTGCATGGTGGGACATAAAAGAGAGCGAGTACTTGGGTGAGTAGGCCGTGCGGTCAACGCTGCCGCGCGCGACTTTGCGCGCGAGGCGGCGCAGCTTCAGAACGGCGGTGGGCGAGAAGCCGCCGCCGAACGTCTCGTGGAGCAGAGCAGGTTGAAGTTGTTGCGCTTGACAAAGATCGCGTCGTGGTAGAGACCGCGATGCGCCTTGACATAGCCTTGGCCGATCTTGTGGTCGAAGGGTTGGCCGGGCTGCCCGCGCGCCTTGCAGCCCATGTTTAGGCGGCGGGCCTTCTCTTCGGTGTTGCCGAAGGCGTAGGAGTGGCCAACGGAGGCGGGCGTGCCGCCACTCGAGGCGTTGCCAACGCCCGTCGAGGAGGTCTTGAGGAGGGGCGTCCAGAGCTTGATTTCGTTCACTTCATCGCATCCTCCCGGCCCAGCGTGGGGTTCTGCGAGGTCGACCTTGTACCCCTCGTTGTACTGCCGGGTGAGCTCTGGTTTCTCCTTGTCGCCGTGCACGACCGGCGCGTTGGCCGGGGCGCGCATCGCGTCCGCCCAGGCGGCGAGGACGCCGTCGTGGGGCCGCCGGTGGTGGGCCTTGTTGTAAAGGTAGTCGCCGAAGAAATCGACTGGCATGCCCCGCTCGAGCGCGACCCGAAGGGTGGGAAGCGCCGCGGAGAGCCAAAGGCCGAGCTTCCGCTGGAGCTCGTCGGCGTCGGAGGAGAGGGCGGTGGCGTACGTGCCGTCGACACGGACATCAAGGGCCTTGCCGGCGAAAGGCGTTGAGGCGGAGATGAAGCGCGCGGCTTCGCGGTTGTTGACGGCCACATCCCGCGCCTTGACGAGCTCCTGGTGCGCGTACCAGTCCTTGTGATTCTTGATGGCAGCGAGCGCCCGCGGCCGCGGGTACGTGGATTTGCAAGTGCCATTGAGAATCGCGTCGGTAGCTGGAAGGGACTCGGGCTCGGGGAGCGGGACGCTCTTGGGGTAAAACTCAGTCAGGTAGCCGCCGCGGACGGTGCACATTGCCAGGCCAACCCTGCGCGTGTGCATCCTGGCTGGCGGGATGGTCACTTGATCACAGAGGAGAGATACGGGGACGCGGCGGGGAGAGACCTGGGGAGATAGCAGATACGGGGAGGTGTCGTGAAAAAACTGGTCCAAGCTGGGGCTCGTGGTGGTGGTGGGGGGTGGGGGGGGTGGGGGGGGCAGAGTTTTGGCGGTTGCAGTCTGCCGACGGGCTAGTTCCAATTCACTCTGACACGCTAATCTTGAAAACGCGTCCAACGGAGCTCCGTGTTGCTCCCAGCGGAATCCCCCGCGCTTCCTGCGGCCATGGCCGATGATACTAGTATGAGAGGTCATCTGGCTACCGCGAGCGCGACTCAACTCGCCGACGTCGTCCGATGATTGTGCCTCAAAGTCAGCCTCCGGAGGCTATCGTGGGGTCGAGCCGGCGGTAGCCGTGACATGTGGTTCCACCGCCCCTCGCAGAGGCTTTGCCTCTGACCGCCACCGTTCCCAGGCTGCCTAATGGGATGGAAAGGAAGGCTGGGCGAGCGTATAGAAGCGTGCTCGACCTCGTCGTGGCAACCTGCACGGCAGCGCTGGTAGGCGCGATGAGCGTCGTGCCACCTGACCCAAGACGGGTCGCAGGCGTCGTACCGAGCGCGTCGAGACCGTGTCCTGATGTGATCTGCACGGGTGAGTCACGTCGGCGTCAAAGGAGCGACGTGCGACCTGTCAGA